ATATTATATAAACAAAAACAAAAATACAAAAACTCAAACCAAAATTGAAATGAACTAAAGGAACAAACAAATTAACTAAAGGAACAAAAACTAAAAAACCAAAATAAAAACAAAAGGAAACGAGAGAGCATAGAAGAGAAGATGACAGACCTAGAGAGTAGAGAAGCTGCTGCCTGGACGCTGGTACAGTGTTGCTGCCGTGCGGTGCAGGTGTTGGAAGCCAGGAACTGGAGGCTGGTGGAGCTTGGTGGTGCAGCCATAGCCCATAGGTAAGCTTCGACTTCAAGTGTTCGTCGTTCGTCTCTTAGTCTCCCGCCTCACCTCCTCTCTCGTTTAGGTAATTGGGTTTGAATCAATTGGGAATTTGGGGATTTTGATCTTACATATGGACCTTCGTTATGTTTGTGGCCCAAGCTCAAATGAAGGTTATAAAGGAGCAAAAAAAAAAAATTGGCTGCTCATCTTCTTCCTTGATCGCTGACTGCTGCAATCCTTCCCTTGAAGGATTGAAGTAAGAAAAAAAATTTACGTGTAAACATAAAAAATTTTCCTACCTTATAACTACACATTTTCCAAATAATTACTATTATAAAATTTATTCTCGTATAAAATGGGAAGAAACCCCTAATCCAAAATATCTTAAATTGGTCTTCACTCTTCAGTCTTCACTCGTGCATCTCAACGCTCTCTTTCCTAGAGTTCCTGCCGTAATGCCTCCGCCTAGATATCGATCCTTTGACATTCTCATTTGGCCCTTCTCATCACCTGAAACATCTTGAGAAAAGCAATCGGCATGGTATCTTAGTAATTAACGCTAACCACTTTACTTTTCTTCTATGATATTTCGACGAGTTTTGCACTTTGTGGATATTGTTTTTTAATTGCCGTTTGGGTGGTGTTATCTTATATAATATTACTAAGAAATTGCGTTTGATGTGCATAATTTATACAAGGCCCAACCACCAACAATCACCCAGGCACAAGGTCATGATAACCTTGAGCACTCATCTTGGGTCAAAACATCCTTGGATTTGTATGGTCGGGTTCAACCTCGGGGCTTGAGGCCCTTGGGCATCTTGTACCCTTTCTATCATTTTCCCCTCTCTCTTGCTATCAGGTTCTCTAACTTAGATGGACTAACCACCAC